CAGTGATGATAAGAGACTTTTTCTTGGTTATAACTCGGTACATGGAAAACCATCTACAGCCGCCTATGATAAGCCACCTGAACTCAGCTGTAGCATTAGCCAGGTGCCAAGCTGCCAGGTATTCCTGTAGGCTGAGGTGGAGAAATGAGAATGTTCGTCCCACCCTTGCCAGCATACATTTCAGTGGATTCATTCATGAACCCAAAATGAACTAATCCCTCAGGGATATCCTCTTTGAAGAAAGTCACCTTCTGACCACTTTGTGATAGCTGTCAAAGGCAAATTTAGCCAAATCTTAAACTTTGTCCATATCTTCTTGTTTAAACCTTCAGGAAGCATGGATGTATACTCACAATTACATTCCTTCATCTCATGTGTCTAACAAGAAGAGAATGAGTGAGAGCCTTGTACAGCTGTGTTATTGTTCTTGGTATAGCGAGGTGACGGCTACTCTGAGACTCGTAATAGACTTGTGCTATAATGGCACAGTTGAGTGGAATGTACATCATGACTTTATGTGAGGACATGAAACATGTACTTCAAGAAATTCACCTGAAGCTCTGGTCCTTGCTAAAGACCTCAGTGATATACCTCACTCTCTCTTCCTCTGTGAACCCAATAATTTCTACAGTGTTTATCAATCGAGGCTGGCAGATACTTTTAGTGCGGACTTGGCCACCGGGTCTAGTAGTGAGATGATGGTACATTCTGGCAAGAGTTGCCTGCATAGAATGCTTTTAATGACAGAGTCTTATGGAAACTGTGAGAGACTTCGTCAAAACCATCTAAAACAAGTAAAAGGTTACACCCCTGGGAGTCATGCAGTTCTTGCAGCATTTTCTCACTGAATCCTGTTTAAACGGGTATCTAAAGAGATCAGGAAGTGATGCTTGCATTAAGACCACTTTCCCCTCAACTGAGCAGCACCACAGTGTGGTAGTCTCTGAGGCTTTCTATTTCATCCCATCTCCTACATGCCTCCCAGGCAAAGGTACTCTTACCAATTCCTGGAGGACCTTCTACCAGATGACAAACTGCCCGACTCGCTTCTATATCTTCTGAGGGCCTCACTACTACTTCGATCTCCTAGACTTACGATATGCAGATGGCAGTAAGTAGTCAGTATCAGAAGGGCACAATGCTTCTTAGCTCTCCCCTTATATGGTTCTTCTGTCTTTCAAAGGCCACAAATCTTCAATTCTAATGGGTGATTTGTTTTCAAGAATCTCGTCTACTCCTCCATGCAGCGTTCTCCTGGTAAACTCATCTCTTTGTTCAGGATCATAGTTTTCCCTTCTAATCATGGCAAGATTAATGTAGGGAGAGTCTAGGGTGGGAAGGTACTTGTCTGCTGGAGCTAGGACTCTAGCTTTGTAAACAGACTGCAAGTACTGCTTATACTCTGTCAACACTGGACATACACCTGAGTGTGGTACTGACTGACTTACTGTCTCAGATGAAGATGTACCATCACTAGAAGTTGCTTGAGTAACTGCAGGTTTCTTTATTTTATCTCCTTGTTTCCCTGAGATACAGAAGTAAAAAAAAAAAACAGTATAAAGACTCAACTATTCCTGTTATATTAAGAGTGTACCTGCAACTTCTGACGGTGAGGTCACAGTCTCAGACAGAGGGCCTTGACTGGGAAATCTTGCGAGGGTTGTCTCTGGACATACTTTACCTGTAAGGTTGAGATTCACCGTCAAAACTACTAACATTCTAATCTGAGGCTATTTACCTGCTTCTCTCAACATTTCTCTGCCTATTCTCTGTAGACTATCGTTCTCCAACAACACTCAATAAACATGAATAACTATCAGGTGTGTGAATTAATAACTTCATCTAGTTTATCAACCAACTAATAGTCTTCACTTGTTGAGATTCAGGGGACCTTATCATATCCTTCATTACTGCCTTTGATATCAGACCTTCTTCTGTAGTTGGGCTGCGGTTTCAACTGGATTTGAAATTTCACAGCAGAGTTGGCCATAGAATCGTTCAAAAAGGTTAACTATTAGTTTCTCACTTTCTGACAAGCGAACACACTTTAGGGAAGAGTACTTAACTTCAAACACTTCTCTTTTCTTGGCTTTTCCTTTCTTCTTGTAATTTCCGCCTTCTTATCCTTTCTTCTGTGCCTTTGTTTTCTTTTCCTAGTGATTCCTACCGTATCAGTAGAGTTACTTTCTCCTGATTTCCTACTTGTTTTCTTCACTTCCTCTTCTTTACTAGAGGCAGTAGAAGACCCATCATCATGTTCTGTTTCCTCCTCTTCATTTGATGAGCTTTGTTCTGAGTCTCTGTCTTCTTCATCCTCACTCCTATCATCATCTGAACCCCAGTCTTCATCTTCAGTGCTGTCGTTGGTGCTGGGTGAAGATGGTGTGGCTTGTTCTAAAGGAATCTCTGCAGCTTTCTTTTGCAACGTTTCTTCCTCAATCTCAACCTGCTCTTCTTGTGAATATAACTTGGGGTAACTGTGTTTCTCTTGTACCTCTTGACTTTGTAAAAACCCACTTCTTACTAATTTTCCTTTCGACTGGCCTTTGGCAGACATGTTCCTTTTTCTCCTTACATTTTTTACCATGTCAATTCGTTCTCTGTTAGGGGGAGACTCAGTAGTTACTGAGTATATTTTTGGACGCTTTGTGTCTCTTAAATCTGAACGGTCTTCATTGTCCATGTATTTTCTTTTCTTTGCACTCTTACCCCTTATAGACTGTTTATCAGAGGATGAGATGGAAAGATGCTCTTTCATTGAACTGATTTTTTCCCCTGAGGCATGCTTTACTTTCCGGGATTCTTGTTCTTCTTTTCAGGATTGACTTTAGGCCTTTTCTGATTGTATTTCGGTTTTCTAACGTAGTCATGACTTGTGACTTCACTTCTCTCTTTACTGGTACTGGCAGAACAAGACTCAGCTTCAGATTCTAATTGGGGTTTATGAGGCGTAGTTTTTTCACTTACCTCTGGATCAGAATCTTGCTCCCCCTCATCACTAGCTTCTGCAGTACCCTCTACAGACGTATCTGTGTGTCTTACTTTTGATACTTTGCGTTGCTTCTTTACAACAATTTCTGATCGTGACACCTTACGTTTTAGTGGAGCTGATTTCTGCCCTTTTTCCCTTCATTTTTGTACTGTTTCTGTGAGTGCCCTGACAGATTCAGATTCACCTGTTCTTTTTTCACTGTGAGGAGTTACATAATATTCTTCCTCAGATTCTGGATCATTAGATTCCTCATTTACTGTACTTTCATGCATAATTGTTATACGGGCCTTCTCACTTTCTACCTCTTCTGGGCATTTCTTACTCATTGTCGGTTGCCTTTCCCCAGAGGAAGTAATTTTAGTCTCCTGACGCCTGGCTTGGTCACGATTGACACCCGAATGATGGATATAACTTTCCTGAATGCTGTCGGCTAGGCGATGAGCACCTACAATTTTTGATCTAAGTGCTTTGACAACATCGCCCCAGTTGAGTAATTCTTCTCCATTTAAACAAGCAGATAAAACATTTATCATCCGGTCATCGACATTAGTGTGATTGACTTCAATAGCTTCAATTGTGGGCAAGTCCAGCCCAAGCTGTAAACCAAGGTTTTTGTACTTTGTTCTTACATCGTATAGGGCTTCATATAATGACTTCAAATCATTTACACCCAAGCCACATTGTTGCTGCTTTTCCTTTCCTCCATATTCACTTTGAGACCCTTTGGTTTTTGTTGTTTTCCTTTTCACTTCTGTTTCACTCTCAGAGGCATATTCATCTCCTGTGATTTGCTCTGAGGTTTTTTCTGGTATTCTTTTTCTCTTACCTCATCATCTGAATTGTGCTCTTGTTCTGAGGAATCTTTCTTTTTTTCTTCACTACTTGAGCAGAAGATTCACTTTCAGACTTTTCTAGAACTTCTTTTTGTGCTTGTTGCTCTGTTAATTCTGTGTGTACTTGACTACTTCTTTCCTTACTTTTTAGTTGGACTTTACTTTCACTTTTTGCTTCATGTGTGGCTTTTCCTTCTTGTTTCATATCTCTCTTGTATCCCTTTCTGGTTCAGAACGCTTCTTTATAATTTTGACTTTATGTTGAGGCGTTTTTAGCACGGTTTTACTGGTAAGTGATATATTATGTGGTTTTTCTGAGAGCTCAGATTCACTTACCTCCTCATCTGAATCTCGCTCTTGTTCATTCCTTACTTTCTGGGTGCGACCCTCCCTTACGTGCTTTCCTTTCTTTGTAGATTTCGGTTTTCTTTCAACTTTTTCTGATGCCCTTTCTTGGAGGTTCTTGGTCTAATGCTGTTCCTAAGCGAGAATCGTGACTGGGCAGGTTGCTACAATATTGTTTCCTTATATCGTCAGCTAGCCTACCCTCACCAACACTTCTCGACCTGAGAGCTCTGTCAATATCATTCCACGTGAGCGCTGGGATCTGCCTCAAGCGAGTATGTAAAGTTCGTAGCAAACATTGACGCGGATCCGTAAATTGCCTTTGGATTTGCTGTATTTGATTCATTTTCACCCCTATCTGTATGCCGAAAAACTCGCATTTCTCGGCAACTGGAACAAGCGCTTCAAAAACGACTTTCAAATCATCTTCTCCCATTTCGCGAGAGGAGCCCCAGTCCGCCGCCGGCTCCCGGCCCGCCCAAGTCGCCATCGCTACGGCCACGCCTTTCTTTGTGCCCCCTTACCACCGTGAAACGCTGACTCCCCTACGCTTCTTCTGTATCTATACAATGACACTAGAGAGGTAAAGATAGCCCACGGTCCGTCGGTACGGGGAGATCAGGAACTATAGCAGTACACTGTAAGCAAGACCACACGGGCAAGAAACGGCAAAATAATGTGGGTGGGCCCTCGGGTGGGGCGCGCGGAATTCGCCGCGCCCCCTTTTTTTATCTTATATACGTACGCATTATTATCTACGTGTATTTCTATTTCTACTACTAGAGTTGATCTGCTTGTGCAAGTATAGTATGACCATTGGTTGAGCACTACTCATGCAACTAGCAAATTGTGATCATTAGCCTTCAAAAAGTTGGCCCGCTCCATTCATGGCTTTGTGGATGTTTGTGTGTGTGTGCAATATTTACGTTACTGACATTCATAGCTGTAATCACAACTGCACATGACATGAATGTAATAATTAACCATCGGCGCGCATGCGCAGCGAGGGTTATACAGTAGTCGTTCTGTCTGTCTGTCTGTCTGTCTGTCCGTCTGTCCGCGCCAGTTCTAGCACTACAGGCTACGAGGCGGCCAATGAGTGGCACCAACGGGTTGTGAACGACGAGAAGATTGATATTAACGTGGCGATTTTCCCGAAACGACTGCGTTCCAGAGATATGGCGTGAAAACAAGCGAAAAAGCTTACGCGTGCGATTCATCGCGCACGCGCGTATGTGGGTGTTTCGTTTTGCCGGAGCTAGCATCAGACGCGAGCGATCCATCGCGCACGGGCGTATGTCGTTTGCTGGAGCATGCGCATCTGCTAGATTCCGCGTGGTTATTTTAGTTGACGTTGGCGGTTTTTGAGTTTCTCTCCTCAGTCATTGTTGATCTCTGTTCTCGATGGATAATAAGGTATGTCCGCAATGTAGCACAGCAGTTCACGTTAGACGAGCAGTTTGTGGATGCGGCCATGCCTAAGCATAAAGCGCAATCTGGCAATATTATATCTCAAGCAATGAAGCAGTTCGCCGAGGGTTTGCACTTTAGTGCTTTTCATTATATCATAGCATCTATCAGAGCGTCGGTTGACGCTCTATGTTCACAATTCACAACAAAGCATTGTATAATGAATGTTGGGATAGTTTTGTACTTGCGCATGTGCCCGCTAGTCTCTCACGAAAGAATTGCTCAAAATTGCAAACTACGTCACGACCATCGCCCCTTCCCCCACAATGCACTGTGAGTGTGTGTGCGATCAAATCTTCAAGTCACAAATATGCAGTGCATAAATTTCCACCCACGCGTGTGTGAACCCTAATGCGTGCAGCCCCTCGCTTCCCGCTCTGCACTGCAAAAAGGGTGGGGCTGAGCATGTGCCAAAAAAGTAAGTGGAACAAGTGGAAAAATCATTTCTTAAAAATGAAGGGGGATGTAGGGATGGTGTAAATTATGAAAAAGGATACCAACAAGAAAGATGCTTCGGCTGAAAACAAAAATCATACATCCATCCCTACATCTTTCTTTAACCTCCCCTCCACTAACCTATGAGACAGGGTTCAGAGGTGAAGTCGCGGAGAGGGATGGGACAACCTCAACTGTGATTTGTTATGAATTAGTATACCCTACACCAAAGCTGAGTGCCTACACATTCTTAGACAGAGCTGAAGAAAGAAAGATGTAGGGATGGATGTATGATTTTTGTTTTCAGCCGAAGCATCTTTCTTGTTGGTATCCTTTTTCATAATTTACACCATCCCTACATCCCCCTTCATTTTGAAGAAATGATTTTTCCACTTGTAAATAGAACACAGGTTAGTAACCAAACAAAAGAGGTGTAAAAACAGGTTTGGTAAGATTACAAGATACACAGAGAAAGAGAAACAACAGTCACAAGACTCTAGTAATTCAGAACTTGGAAAAATTACTATAAATACAGAATTATAAGAACAAACACTTTATAAAGTCCAGTTTACCAAGTTACCCTGTGAGGATAGTGTTGGGTGTGTGCAGAATGTGCATGAATGGGTAAGAGAGGAAAAGGTGGCAGTAAACTAAAGCGCAAACGCATTGGGACATACAGTACTGCATGAAAACACACACATGCAAATAATTGTATATAGATGAGCGATTTTCTAGCCTCCTTGCACCGTGATAAAGTCTCTCACCCCATGGATTTTAACTCACACACTGACACAGCGTTTTCCCCCTCATCAATAGGCATTTTCTAAACAAAGGCCTGACACAGAATATATACCATGGTATGCTGAACTAAAGAGTAGGGCCCACTGAATTAGATACAGTTTCTAATACTGTAACATTCCGTTAAAGAAGAAGATGAAGAATATTATGATGATGATGACACGAAAATCGTGAAATCGCGTATGAGCGAATTCTCGCCTGGACAACTGGGGGCACGTATGAAGTCTTGAGGCATTTATATAGCTAGATATTGGCCTGTATACTATTGCTAGTGATTTTTTAAGTCTAGCGAGTCATTCTCGCAGAGATTTGAGGCGTTTTGTACGCGGATCCATGTGAGATTTGACCCACGCCATCCCTATATAGAGCGTCTAATACAAGCTTTCGGATAGACATTTGTTCCTATTAACTGTAGTAGACACATGTGTGTGTGGGATTTAAGACGTCTGCCGAGGTTCATTGACTACCCTCCCCTCCCCTCCCTCCCCCTACTCCCAACTATTCTACCCTGGACCATGCAGCCCCTACGTACAACCAACTCCCTCTAGAACTGGGACCATCAGTTCGTCATTTGGTCCACCTTCATATGCCGCCAGTCTATCAAACAACAGTCCTCATTCTGAGTTTGCTGCTCAGTTGAGGGGAGTGGGGAACCCCCTGAGTGATGAAGGAGTAACGATGAGATTGAGAAGCCTATCGTCAAGATGTGGAGAGCCGAGTGGCAGGGGTAATGCCGGAATAAAGATCTACGAAGAAGGCGTTTATCATGAGCCTACAGAGGTATAGCTAGTAATTCACCCTGTCATATATTTTCTTTCGTTTATGATAGAGAGGGATTGAACCTAGGCTCGGTATATAAGCCCGGGGCAGGTGTAGAGATGATGTAATCCCAGGCGAAAACTATTCTCCGCTTTACTTACCGCCAGTGGTTGTCAAAATAGACAGATTGGGCAATGCGCGACCAAACAGACAACTTGGAGAATAGCTTTAGTCTGAGTTTGCAGCTAGCATATTGACTTCCAGTTGCCCAAGTTTGATCCAGACTTATCTGTATTAGCTATATGAGAAGGGTTTTCACTAGATAGACACTTACCTATAGTTTAAGGGAAATCTTTTTATTTTCTTACAATTACTTGAACCACAGAAGAAAGCACACGCCTGGGGTATCTATGTCCCTACTGAGGTAAAATTTGTATATACTATTTCCACAGCTCTAATGAGACATTATCATCTGTTTGTATGGCTACAGGAACAGAGGGCATCAATCTACTATTCCTGCCCAACACCCACTAACGATGACAACTTGTACTCAGAACTAGTCAAACAGGTAGCTATACTCACACATTTCTTACATCTTGAAAAGTCTGTTGTCACACCCCCGAAAAAGGAACAATTGGGGACAATGAAAGTTTGCTACATTCAGAGGTGTCCCTTAGTCGAACAGAACCACAGTGTCCTTTATAGAGCCTTTATTGTGAGGGTCCTTTTCCGGAGATTAACTATAAACCTGTCTATTAGTACACATTTGGCTTTCACTTACACTCATTCCTACTATATACTCATATACCTTTAACCCCACCTACCTACACACACACACACACCTACAGAGCTCCAAGTCCCTACAGGATCATGTGTATGATGACCACATCAGCACCACTAGTAGCACAGTCAGTAGCAGTGGGAGTGGAGCTCCAGCCTTCTTCCACGAGGAGCCCACCTACTGGACACCTGCTGACAGTACCCAGGCCCTCTACAAACAGCTCAGCACTAGGAAATACAGAGAGCTCTCCAGGAAACACGTCAGGTAAGACGTAAGACAATACTTGTTAGATATTTGTAGAGGAAACACAGTCACAAAGGTAGACATGAGTTTTAATTGGCTGGCAAAGTGGAAGTAGGACTTTGGAACTTCTGATCAGATATGTTGATTTGTTTGCTTGGTATTAGGCTTTGGCTTTTGAAAATGACTGTAGATTGCTTGGTTAAGATGGTTGAAGTATGAATTTCAAATTGGTTTGTTGTAGTTTCCCCCTGGGCTGCGTATTTTGACCATCTTGAGTTATCGTTAAAAGGTTCACAACCAGATAAAGGTTTTCTCTTCCAGTCTTCGTCAGCATTTGGGATCAGGTCAGTTTGGGACGGTGGTCCAGGGGGTGTGGAGCTCCCCGAGAGGACCGGTGGATGTGGCAGTCAAGACTCTCAAACCAGGCACCACTGAGAGCGACAAGATCAGGTTCCTGCAAGAGGCCGCTATCAACGGACAATTTAGACATCCCAACGTTGTTAAGCTCATTGGTGTGGTTACCATTGATCAACCAGTGAGTAAATCCCTGTAATAAACCTCTTCTATATTATTATCCTCTATAATTGTCTGTGTAATTAACCCTCGGCGCGTATGCGCAGCGAGGGTTACGGTAGTTGTCCCGTAAGTGTGTCTGTCAGTCTGTCATTACCCTCGGCGCGCATGCGCAGCGAGGGTACTGTAGTTGGGTTTGTCTGTCTGTCTGTCTGTCTGTCTGTCTGTTACTCTACCTGTCTGTATCTCACCTCTCGAATGTCTGTTCGTCCCAGAAACGATACCATCTACCCAACGGGCGACGAAGGTCAGAAAATAAAGGCGGTTTTCTCTGAAAATGCTTCGTTGCAAAGCTAGAGCGCGAAAAAGCTAATATGCAAATACGCAACGGGCTTACCGCGGTCGTGCTCTGCGTACTTCGGATGCACCAGAAGATGCAACGCAGGGCGTGTATCGCCTCTCGCGTGATATCTAGTGGTGTAGTTAGCCCGCGTCTGACTCTGCGCGAGCTGGCAAGAGACCACGAGTAACAGCACCCTGCCCATCAATTAGTGGTACGGCGCATGCGTTTACTTACGCGTGCGCGTCAAAGTGCGCCGAGGGTTTGCACTTCAGCGCTTTTCATTGGCGTCTGTTGTTGTCTGTCGTTGTTGTCGTTCGTTAGTCTATATCTCACTCCTCGAACGTCTGTTCGTCCCAGAGAAACGATACATCTACCCAACGGGCTACGAAGGTCAGAAAATAAAGGCGGTTTTCTCTGAAAATGCTCCGTTGCAAAAGCTAGAGCGCGAAAAGCCAATATGCAAATAACACAACGGACGGGATGGCTACCACAGTCGGATCGGTCACGCGTGATCTGCGTACTTCGGAGGCACCAGAAGATGCAACGCAGGCGCTGTATCGCCTCTCGCATGCTATCTAGTAGTGTAGTTAGCTCGCGTCAGACTCTGTGTGAGCTGGCAAAGAGACCACGAGTAACAGCTAACTAAACCCAGCAGCCCATCAATTAGTGGTACGGCGCATGCGTTTACTTACGCGTGCGCGTCACAGTGCGCCGAGGGTTTGCACTCAATGTTTTTCATCTGTCTGTTACCACGTTTCTGCCACAGCGCGACGAAATCAGGTAAATGCGATATGATCGGGTCAGTGGTACAGTGGGTTGATTTTTAAAAAATGCGATTTTCGTAAAACTACTGCGTTCTAAAGTTATGGCGTGAAAACCAAGTGAAAAGCCAATATGGTAATTAGCACAGGCTTACCTCGACGCGTCCGCGCGCTCTGTGTATCTTGAAGGCACAAGAAGTCACAACGAAGGGCATGTATCGACTCCCGCATGCAATCTACTACTGTAGCTAGCCCGTGCCAGACTCTCCGCGAGCTACTAGCGCCGATAATACAACGAGACACACAGAAAGAGGAGGACACGCGCGGCAACCAACATCACAGATAGGAAGTCTAAAACAGGGATATAACGCCAGCGACTAGAAGGAGACCTAAAGATGTCACAGGCGCAGTTAGGCGACCCGGGGATCACTGGCGACACTTAAGGACTGCAACTTGTCATTGCAGCGATAAGAGCTGGAGTGTCACCTTACGATACGTTGGGAGTGGATGAGCCAATGAGAGAAAGTAGACGCAAGCACGCAGAACTCGGAAGTCTTAGGGCACCGCCGGTAGCCGTGGAATCAAAAGTTGAGCACACAACAAGTAAGAATTTCGGCGTCTTACGATGCCCTAATGTGAGTACAGTATAAGTTAGAGAGAAACGACCAAACATTTCTGATGAAAGCGTTCATAATTTTAGAGTTTGGAAGAATCAAAGTAGATATTGTAACGATTCTGCACCAGGGAGTGTGTGACTCAGGAACATTACTTAATGTCCACATGGTATCTATTCCAAACAGTCTTGATTAAAACCTAGAAACATTTTATGTCGTATTTTGTGCCAAATTACCTCTCTCTGGTCGTCTCTTATAGTCAAATCAAACTCAAACACGCAGCAGACACTAAGAACATACAGTAAGGTACACGTTGCATTTTGGATACAGCCGGTGCTGGCTATGAGTTAGACTACCCAGGGAACCGGACTGTATTGACGGCACAGCTAATGAAAGAAAACGTGGGGACAACGTGCAGGATCTAGAGCTACCGTGGCGGACAAGTCAATTGTGCACAGAGAACTGGACAATGTCCAGGAACATGTCTCATGTCACACTGACCCTCACCTGCAAGAGTGACACCTCCTATCAAAGATACTGATACGCTACATGCTGACCGTCTCAAGACTTTTGTCATGCACACTGCAAGGATCGCACGAGTGCAATAACATAAGAGCAGTAGTTTTGTCTGGTAGGTGATCCTTCCAGTCCTGTGAATCAAGGCTATTGTAACACTCTACCGCAGAGCCTTCGGCCCACACACGCTACGCACTTGTCCGCTCATCACGCAGCACAACCGCTCAGTGAGATGCAAAGCAGACGAATGAAAGCGTCCAGACATAGTACCTTGTGCATGACACAACATGTATAAAAGTACACACCATGCGATATCATACACAATCATCACATGAAGTTGCATGAGAATTCTGTCTCACACTACGCTACATTGCACTTTGTATGTTAGCACCATAATATGCACATCCATCTATTCACACACCACAGTACATATCCACCCCTAAATACACATTTTCCTTCTTCAGATCAGTGACTTTGGCATGTCTCGCTGACTGGAAGAGGAGACGAACTACATGTCTAAAGGAGGCAAGATCCCCATCAAGTGGACTGCTCCTGAGGTAACGATCAATAATCTAATCCAAACCTCAAAGCACAGTCGTTTCTCCCTGCAGGCAATCCACTACAAGAAGTACTCGACAGCCAGTGACGTGTGGAGCTATGGAATGGTCATGTATGAGATATGGAGCCTTGGACAGAAACCCTTCTCTGACTTCACTAATGCTCAGGTATTACTAGGTTTGTAGCTGTCTACCCCCCAGGCTTGTAACTAATCACTCTTACAAACGTTTATAATTATGGACACCACTTTACAATGCTCTCTGAATTTGCTTTAACTGTTTCCCTTCTATTTCTGTCGTGAAACACAGACGGTGAGTCTACTGGAGAGGTCATTCTGTCTCCCTCCTCCTCCCGGTACACCTCATGAGATCTACTCTCTCATGGTCCAGTGCTGGTTAGTGGAGCTAGAGCTTTATTATATCTCCATAATATCCCTACGGCAAATTTCTGGGATTCATGCGTGCTTAGGAACACAGGGTAGGGGAGGGACATAGAACTGTACTTTATGTCATTCCTACACCTAACCATTCCACTCCTTTTGGCTTTCCCCCCTCCATCCCGCCTCTTCCTTTCCTCTATCCTCCTTCTTTTCCCTCCCAATATTCTCCCCTGCACCCAGGCACCCCGACAAGTCATGTCGTCCATCGTTCCCGTCTCTCTCCCGCCACCTCGGTCTCCCTGTCTCCCAACTACTCCACTGGAGTACAGAGGAGGTCACTGGGGTGGGGCCTCAGGGCTATAATGCTAGGGGCTCCCCTCAAGACTGGCCACAAGCTTCACATGACTCTGCAGAACACTTACCGCACACAGCCATAGTCAGACTCTATATTATTTCATAGTTGAACATGGTGTCTGTGTGGCTTTTCCATAACAAGTGAGACCGAATAATTAACCCTTTGGACACCATGGGTATCTCCTTAAATAAGCAGAAATTGAGATCAACATATCAACGCCTAGTATTATAGGCCTATATAAATTCTTATGCGTTTAAGGAGGCTCTGGAAATATTAATTACATGTCTGTGGCTTGCTAAGGGTTAATACACTGGGAAAGTCTTGAAAACTCATAAAATTCAGATAACACTCATGTATTACAAGTAATAGAAGTCGGACTCAAAGATGGCTGAAACAAGGTGGCACAATAACAAAGGCACTAGCTACATGACACAATTCCACTTTCAGCCAGTGAGAAGGATGATGTCTCTTCCCAGACGGCTTCACCACTGCTTCCACTATCTTTTGTCTTGTCTTTACCACTGTCTAATGTGTGTGTGCACTCATTTATAATTGGCGAGCAGAGCAAGTCCAGCTAGTGCCATCTGAATTTATTCTGTAACGGATGACTAATGCACCATGCGCAAATTACACGCAGAGTGTTTCAACTGGAGTTCATAAGATGCTTGGCAATTACAACAGTACATTGATCGTAAATTATCATCAGGACCCTTTGCCACAACTACAAACAGCCCAGTCTTGACAACTCAGCAAATGACCACATTCTTAATGTTTCTCCATTGCTTCTCTGTAGATTGCTCTTCATCTCTTTTTCTTGTACTTTGACATAATTATGTCTCTCTCCATTTTCTTCATTTCACACTTCTATTTTGTTGCCTTTTTCCTCATTGTGATCTCCAGTTTGCCTGCTGCTGCTTTGCCAAACTGGGATGGTGTCATGTAGCTTTGTGCAAATTTGCTGTGTAATGACCCCTTGTTTCTTCCTTTTTTGTGCTTCAAGCCATCCCTATATCCCCCTTTCATTTTGAAGAAATGATTTTTCCACTTGTTTCCACTATTTTTAACAGCTTATGACAACACTGCATTTTCAGTCACTCTGATGTTCACGGGTAGGTTGTCCATAGACTAAATTGTAACTGTTGAAAGTAGTAGCTAATGGAGCTGCTAGTGCCTGAAGCAGGGGCTAGATACCGCATTCACCTCATGTATTGTCTTCAACAAGGATCTAATTAGATTATTACACATGGTTGTGGTTTCATGGGCAGGCTTTGATAATCAGGCTACAACCTGGGGGGGACAAACAATGAAGGTCCATTTGACTGAGCGCCCCGCAAGGCTCGCGTAAGACTCTGGCAAGTTGCTCTTCGTGCTAATCAACAGCAAGCTAGCCAGTTGGAAATGTGCACACTTACTTACAGAAGGTACTGGGAGGCTGAGAGTTCCTCTGCAGGTCTGCCAACTCGCCTGGTAATATGCTCGCTAGCGCATTGGACAACGCCCCTGCCTGGCGCATGCGCGCGGCTCACAGATGCTGAGTAAGCAGCAAATGGCGTTGTTCAGGTCGACCATGGAAGAGCTCCATGATCTACCGTAGTGACTAGCGGCAAGAAAGAAACGATCGCTTGATGTCCGTGCACACCTCCGGCGAAACTGGAGACCTTCAGTGAAAAAATCAGTGCTTAAACTGGTACTGGTAAGGAGATAGCGGGTTTAAAGAAGAAGAAGAAGATGAAGAATAATTAAGATGACACGAAAATCGTGAAATCGCGTATGAGCGAATTCTCGCGTGGACGACTGAAGGTGCGTATGAGGTCTTGGGGGACATGTATAGGTAGATATGGGCCCGCAGACTATTGCTAGTATGTTTTGAAGGCCTAGGGAGTGATTCTCACCGAGTTTTTAGTCGTTTTGTACGCGGATCACGTGAGATTTCACCCGTGTCATCCATATATTATAGAGAGTCTACCGACTCTCTAATACTAACAAATCTTTGTAATACAACACAGATATGTGCGCTGTGTACTGTAAGAATCACTAAGGGTCTTACTCATTACGGTTGGTAGATTAACCAAGGCGTTCTTCTTCTTGATGATACTAAGCTGTTGATGGCACATGTGTATGATGCTGCACATGCGTAGCTTGTTGTAGATATGAATGGTGATATGCATGTCGTTGAAGGTGTGAAGGTTGTTGTAGGTATGCAAGCTGTTGTACAGGCTGCTGTAGGCCTGGAGATTGCTGTAGGTCCGCAGGTCGCTGAAGATAATAATGATGATTGCTGTAGATATGATGGTTGTTGTAGATTTGATGGTTGCTGTAGATATTATAGTTGTTGTAAATATTCAAGTTGCTGTAGGTATGAAGGTTGCTGTAGATGGTCTCGTCTCTCCAATGAATCTGCAACATTCTGCAACATTATAAAGTAAGTCATTCTGAGTGTCTCCACATACTGATGGAGATGAGATATCTTCAGACACTCCTTGAGACGAGGGTCTAGAGCAGAGAATGACTGTAGAACTTCAGTGTCTGGAGCAGTGAATGAGGGAAGAGAGAATAACTTCTTTCCCTCCTCCTTCCTCTTGGAAAATAGCTTCTTGAAATCATAGTCTTGTTCCCTATAACTACTCCCAAGCCCTCGGTCCCAGAAGAGTTGAGTCTGAGGCTGAGTGAGGTCTGAAGATGAGAATGATCTCCTGACAATAGGAGCCAAGCCACTACGGACAGCCTCCACATTGAACTGTTGAAGTGGTCCAAGTCTTGTCCACTGACAATATTCCCAATCTTCTTCACCAGCAGAGAGAGGGAGGAATAATCCAGACTGGATCTTTATCTCTTCCAGAGTAGTGTTGTCCTTGAGAATGTCGTTTAGTTCCAGAAGAAAGTCAGTGCAGGTAGTCTTACGTGGCAGAGGAACTCTCTCCATGGATGAGAAAGTGGTGAAACGAATAAGATCCCTTAATCTTTCTTTGTAACGTGGCAACTGAAGATCATCATGAATAACAAGATGTCTTAATGTTGTGTTGTTTCTCAGTGCACTACATATGTAGAGGATTCCATCATAGCCCAGTCTGGTTCTCTTCAGCTCCAATGTGGTAAGACTGGGACAGTGTAGTAAGATGCTACGGACACCAGCCATAGTTTTACGAGATATGTAAGGCAATACAAATTTAGTAATTTGATTTTGATTTCAGAGTAAATTTCAGTACAGAGTCAACCAGAACATCTGCTGGACTGTGAAGATCATATATTATGTTGGAAGTAAATTTAATATCAAGCACAATCTCTGTAAGTCTAAATTCTACTAGCCAGCAGAGAGTACCATTTGGTGGAGGACTGCTTTCCTCACTGCTAGAAATGTGCAAATATTTGAGTTCACTGAGGGACTTAAATGCAGCAAGCCACTCCCATGATTTGATAGCACTATCAAAAATAAAGTCATTAGACCCGATTGTAAGTAATTGAAGTTTGGTAAGTGTTTGTAAAAATTGATCAGCAAAAACAGCTGTTTATAATTGTAGGGTCTAAATGGCATTCCTCAGTATTAAATAGATTTGCTTTCATTAACCAACGTAATCCTCTGTTTACTAGATGACCCGATAAAGAATATTTGATTTCAAGATGATTCACTCTAGGTGTGGTAGACTTGCAGTGGTCATTAAGACCTTTGACAAATGTTTCCACAAGTGAAATATCATTATCATTATCGAAGCAAAATGAGAGAGAGAAACCATGTTGATCTGAGGAATTTGCAAGAGAGAAAGATACGGCATAGCAGTCATATGGTGTTTTATGATCAAAAGCCAACGTTCTTGTCGACTTAATGGCAATTTTTCTCCTAGAATCACTAGCATAATAATATAGAGGTAAGATGGTTGGATTTTGAGCCTCATAGAGAGAGCGTAGCAAGAGGTTGGACGAATCAGTAACACGTGCAGTGTCATGACTGAGATACATTTCCCAGTGGTTCCTGTCATCCTCTGACTGGCATCTCATGCCAGTGATACCAGCCAGGAATATGGCTGGCTCCACCAGTGACCACCACCTCTGTTGATTCAGTGATGATAAGAGAACTTCTTCCTCTTGGTTATCACCTTTGTAATGATTTCCTTCATTATATGAGAAATGTAGGTTAGGATCTACAGCCAACCTATGATAAGCCACCTGAAACTCAGTGCTGTATGCAACTGAATGCTGTAGCGATTAGCCAGGTGCCAAGCTGCCAGGTATTCCTGTAGGCTGAGGTGGAGAAATGAGAATGTTCGCTCCACTCCTTTGCCAGCGTACATTTCAGTGGATTCATTCATGAACCCAAAATGAACTAATCCCTCAGGGATATCCTCTTTGAAGAACGTTACCTTTCTTGACCCATGTTTGTGATAGCTGTCAAAAGGAAATTTGGCCAAAATCTTAAACTTGTCCATATCTTCTTTGCTTAAACCATCAGGAAACATGGATGTATACTCATAGTTGCTTTCCTTCATCTTCATGTGTCTAACAAGAAGAGAATGAGTGAGTGCCTTGTACAGCTGTGTTCTTGTTCTTGGTATAGTGAGGTGGCGGCTACTCTGAGACTCGTAATAGACTTGTGCTATAACGGCACAGTTGAGTGGAATGTACATCATTGACTTTATGTGAGGGACAAGAAACATGTACTTCAAGAAATTCACCTGAAGCTCTTGTTCCTTGCTGAAGACCTCAGTGATATACCTCACTCTCTCTTTCCTCTGTGAACCCAATAATATCTACGTGTTTATCAATTCGAGGCTGGCAGATACTTTTGAGGATATGGTTGGCCACAGGTCTAGTAGTGAGAATGATGGTACATTCTGGCAAGAGTTGTCTGCATAGAATGCTTTTTATGACAGAGTTCTCGTGAAAACTGTGAGAGACTTCATCAAAACCATCTAAAACGAGTAAAAGATTACACCCCTGGGAGTCATGCAGTTCTTGAGCAATATTCTCACTGAATTCTTGTTTAAACGGGTATCTAAAGAGATCAGGAAGTGATGCTGCATTTAAGACCCACTTTTCCCTCAACTTGAGCAGTATCACAGCGTGGTAGTCTCTGAGGCTTTCTATCTCATCCCATCCCCTACATGCCTCCCAGGCAAAGGTACTCTTACCAATTCCTGGAGGACCTTCTACCAGAACGAACCTGACTGGCCTACCACTGTGTTCTGGAGTCAGCAGGTTTTCAATGTTAATAGGTGTCTTACTCTTAAGAATCTGGTCCACTCCTCCATGCAGTGTTCTCCTAGTAAACTCATCTCTTTCCTCAAGATTGTAGCGCCCCCTTCTAATCATGGCAAGATTAATGTAGGGAGTCTCTAGGGTGGGAAGGTATTTGTCTGCTGGAGCTAGGACTCTAGCTTTGTAAACAGACTGCAGGTACCGCTTATACTCTGTCAACACCGGACCTGACTGTGGACTTACTGTCTCAGATGAAGATGTACCATCACTAGAAGTTGCTTGAGTAACTGCAGGTTTCTTTATTTCATCTCCTGGTTTCCCTGAGGTACAGAAGTAAGAAAAAACAGTATCAAAACTCAACTATTGCTGTTATTAACCCTCGGCGCGCATGTGCAACGAGGGTTGGTTTGTCTGTTTGTTTGTGTGTGTGTGTGTGTGTGTGTGTCGACGCTTATTCTGGCACTACAGGCTAAGAGGCTGTCTATTAGCGATACCGGCAGCTTCAGAACTACACGAGCCTGAAAATCAAAAGGGTGATTTTCCTGAAACGACTGCGTTCGAGAGATATGCCGTGAAAACAAGCGAAAAAGCCAACATGTATAATCGCTCTGGGCTTACCGCGATCTGATCCGCTCGCTCTGTGTATATACCTAGGGGGTTCAGCACAACAAATGTCAACTCCCGCATGCTATCTACTACTGTAGCTAGCCCGTGTTAGACTCTCCGCGAGCTATATAGTAGTGGGAGACCATGAGTAAACACATACAAACAGCCCAGCTGATCAATTTAGCAGTATCGCGCATGCGCAGTTTGCCGAGGGTTTGCACTTTAGTGATTTTCATATTAAGAGTGTACCTGCAACTTCTGATGATGAGGCCACAGTCTCAGACGGAGGGACTTGACTGGGGAACCTTGCGAGGGTTCTCTCTGGACATACTTTACCTGTAAGGTTGAGATTCACGGTCAAAACTACTAACATTCTAATCTGAGGTTATTTACCTGCTTCTCTCAACATTTCTCTGCCTATTCTCTGTAGACGTTTGGTCTCCAACAACACCTCAATAATCATGAATAGACTATTAGGTTGTGAATTAATAACTTCATCTAGAGTATCAACCAGACTAATAGTCTTCACTTGTTGAGATTCAGGGGACCTTATCATGTCCTTCATTACTGCTTTAGATATTAGACCTTTCTTCTGTAGTTTTGCTGCAGTTTTAACTGGATTTTGAAATTTCGCAGCAGAGTTGGCCATAGAATCGTTCAAAAAGGTTAACTATTATTTTCTCACTTTCTGACAAGCTAACACATTTTAGGGAAGAGTATTTAACTTCAAACACTTCTTTTTTCTTGGTTTTTCCTTTCTTCTTGTAGTTTCCCCCCTTCTTATCCTTGCTTCTGTGCCTTTGTTTTCTTTTCCTAGCAATTCCTACCATAATCAGTTGAGTTACTTTCTCCTGATTTCCCACTTGTTTTCTTCACTTCCTCTTCACTGGTGGCAGAAGAAGACCCATCATCATGTTCCGTTCTCTCCTCTTCATTTGATGAGCTTTGTTCTGAGTCTCTGTCTTCTTCATCCTCACTCCTATCATCATCCGAATCCCATTCTTCATCTTCAGAGTCTTCTTCTTCGGTACTGTCTGAATATGCTGTGGCTTGTTTCAACGGAATCTCTGTTGCTTTCTTTTGCGATGTTTCTTCCTCAATCTCAACCTTCTCTTCTTGTGAACATAACTTGGGGTACCTGGATTTCTCTTGCACCCTCTGACTTTGTAAAAACCCACTTCTTATTAATTTTCTGTTCCCCTGACTTTTGGATTTGGTTTTCATTTTTCTTTTTCTCCTTACACTTTTTACCATGCCAATTCGTTCTCTGTTAGGGGGAGACTCAGTAGTTACTGAGTATATTATTTTTGGACGCTTTGCTATTAAATCTTCATTGTGCATGTCACTAAACAATTTTCTTTTTTCTGCACTCTTACCCCTTATAGACTGTTTATAAGAGGATGAGATGGAAAAATGCTCTTTGATTCTTTCCCCTGAGGCGTGCTTTACTTTCTGGGATTCTTGTTTTTCTTTGTCAGGATTGACTTTAGACCTTTTTCTCATTGTATTTCAGTTTTCTAACATAGTCGTGACTTGTGACTTCACTTCTCTCTTCACTGGTACTGGCAGAAGAAGACTCATCTTCAGATTCTAATTGGGGTTTATGAGGCGTAGTTTTTTCGCTTACCTCTGGATCAGAATCTTGCTCCCCCTCATCACTAGCTTCTGCACCCTCCACAGACGTATCTGGGTGACTTACTTGTGATACTTCACGTTGCTTCTTTACAACAATTTCTGATTGATCACACGACACCTTACCTTTTAGTGGAGCTGATTTCTGCCCTTTTTCTTCATTTTTGTACTGTTTTTGTGAGTACCTGACAGATTCAGATTTAGCTGTTGTTGATTGATTAGTGGCTTTGCTACTAAACTCTTCTTGACTGTGAGCATATTCTTCGGAGTGGGCAGTTAGATATTCTACTTCTTCCTCAGATTCTGAATCACTAGATTCCTCTACGCTTCTTTCATGCATTATATTTATATGGGCCTTTTCACTTTCTACCTCTTCTGAGCATTTCTTACTCATTGTCGGTTGCCTCTCCCCAGAGGATATATTTATTTTAGTCTCATGACGCCTGGCTTGGTTTGAAATCTCACGATTGAGACCAGCAGAACGACGGATATAGCTTTCCTGAATGCTGTCAGCTAGGCGATGGTGAGCACCTACCGTTTGTGATCTAAGTGCCGTGACAACATCACCCCAGGTGAGCGGTGGTACTCCATTTAAACGAGCAAACAAAACTTCAAGCAGCCTGTCATCGACATTTCTGTGATCGGCTTCAATACCTTGAATTGTTGGCAAGTCCACCCCAAGCTGTAAAACCAAGGTATCTGTACTTTGTTCTTACACTGTATAGGGCTTCATATAATGGATTCAAATCATTGACACCCAACCCACCACTGTGTGATGACGCATGGCTTGATGATTCAGAGGCCATTATTACTCGGCCACGCCCGGCCCAACGATGATACACGAACCGCGCGCTGTAAAATGTTACATAAACCAGTATATACCTGACTTGGTTTGGAGCAATCGAGGGGAATAGGAAGACCTGGGTCAGTGCAGTGGGTGGAGCACTTTTCGAGCGCGTCCGTAATTCTCAGCATTTCTCCGTATTCTTCAACATCAGCCAAGTCGGCGACAGGAGGGCGGCGGCTCATTTCATCTCAACCGACGGGCGTATAAAGAAAAACTGAAAGATCGCGGAGCCCAAAGCAATGCCGTGTGCCTGCGACTATTTACGACCGACGACTGGAACAGATGGCGAATAGCTGAACGTGAGAGATAGCCGAGAGAAAACTGCGTCGTCCTCAGTTGTAGAGATTCGTGACTCGTGTGTTAGTTTGCTGTTGCGTTGGGTTCTAGCCGAGACCGTCAGTTTATGATGAGTGGTGCTACTTTGTCTCCTGCGGTGCATTGCTCTACCTCCTCATCCAGCCACAGAGTACTGGTGAGTTAGCTCAGTATAATTATTACCTGTCAATGTCTGTCTACACATCGCGCTCCCTTGCGAGAGAGCCGTGGAGGCTTCGTTTGCAAAGATTCAACGTTACTTGGTGCACGTTTCTGCTCGGCGTACCTCTCCGTCCGTTGTATATTGGAGGAGCCAATAGACAATCAGTTTGGTATTCTGTGCATGAAGTTAGTGTACGTTTGTACTATATAGCTACTGAGCTCTGTTGGTTTAGCTGTATCTATAGAGTTGTTGCAAATAAAGCAGCTGAACGCAGTGTGCAGGCTGCAATCTGATGCACATGCTGATAAAGTCATCCATTATAATAGTAGTCAACCAGCCACTGCTAACTTTCCCTCCCTCTCCCTCAGGAACCTATGTACTGTTACATTGGGGCATAGACTGTCTGGCAGACAGACACTGTTCCTCTGTGTCTGATAAGTGGTTAACTCCCACGTTGCCTTAATTAATTCGGCTCCTCAATCACTTTCTGTTGACGAACCTCAGCTAGGTTGCCGAATAGATCAAATCTTTGTTGAAAAACACACAACAATTGGCTATCATTACCTGAGATATTGCAAAGTAAAATTGTTTCTCAGAGTTTTAGTGTTGGTACTTTTGGCCATTTCTATACATGTCTAAAGGAGGCAACATACCCATCAAGTGGACTGCCCCTGAGGTAACGATCAATAATCTAATCCAAACCTCAAAGCACAGTCATTTCTCCCTGCAGGCAATCCACTACAAGAAGTACTCGACGGCCAGTGATGTGTGGAGCTATGGAATGGTCATGTATGAGATATGGAGCCTTGGACAGAAACCCTTCTCTGACTTCACTAATGCTCAGGTAAGTCTGTCTATCATCGAGATTAGTAACTAGCACTCTAAGGCAAACACTTAGTGGCAAACTTCTAGCTTTGTCATTATGGACACTGCTCTGTGCTTTGTGCAACACTCTGTTTCCTTCTTTACTGTTTCTCTTTGTTTCTGTCGTGAAACACAGACGGTGAGTCTACTGGAGAGGTCATTCTGTCTCCCTCCTCCTCCCGGTACACCTCATGAGATCTACTCTCTCATGGTCCAGTGCTGGTTAGTGGAGCTAGAGCCTATCCTCCTCCTACTGTATCTTTTTTGAGCCATGCATGCTTATATAGGAACGCAGGAGAAAATATAAGAACCTAATAGCTTGTTGCTATGTTGTTCTTACATCGAATCCTACCCAGGGCAAATTTTCTTTTTCCGAAAAGAAACAACTGTCCTGGGTGTAGTTGACTTGTTTGCTTGCCTCCATTCCATTCCTTTCCCCTTTACACTCCATCCCTTCCTCTACCTTCTCCTTTTCCTCACTACTCCATATGTTTCCATCTCTCCCTACCCTACACTACCCTCTCTGCACCCAGGCACCCAGACAAGTCATGTCGGCCATCATTCCCGTCTCTCTCTCACCACCTCGGTCTCCCTGTCTCCCAACTACTCCACTGGAGTACAGAGGAGGTCACTGGGGTGGGGCCTCAGGCAATCATGCTAGGGGCTCCCCTCAAGACTGCCCACAAGCTTCACATGACTCTGCAGAACACCTACCGCACACAGCCATAGTCAGATTCTATATTATTTCATAGTTGAACATGTCTGTGTGGCTTTCCATAACAAGTTAATGAATTAACCCGTTGGATGCTATGCCATGGGCTATCTCTTAATATAGCAGAAATGATGATAACACATATCACGCCTAGTATTATAGGCCTATATAAACTCTTATGGGTTTAAGGAGGCTCTGGATATATTATAATGTCCATGGCTTGCTAAGGGTTAATATGCTGGGAAAGTTTTGAAAACTCATAAAATTCAGATGGCACTCATGTATTACAAGTAATAGAAGTCGGACTCAAAGATGGCTGAAACAAGGTGGCACAATAACAAAGGCACTAGCTACATGACACAATTCCACTTTCAGCCAGTGATAAGGATGATGTCTCTTCCCAGACGGCTTCACCACTGCTTCCACTATCTTTTGTCTTGTCTTTACCACTGTCTAATGTGTGTGTGCACTCATTTATAATTGGTGAGCAAAACAAGTCCAGCTAGTGCCATCTGAATTTATTCTGTAACGGATGACTAATGCACCATGCGCAAATTACACGCAGAGTGTTTCAACTGGAGTTCATAAGATGCTTGGCAATTACAACAGTCACATTGATCGTAAACAATTATCATCAGGTCCCTTTACCACAACTACAAACAGCCCAGTCTTGACAACTCAGCAAATGACCACATTCTTAATGTTTCTCCATTGCTTCTCTGTAGATTGCTCTTCATCTCTTTTTCTTGTACTTTGACATAATTATGTCTCTCTCCATTTTCTTCATTTCACACTTCTATTTTGTTGCCTTTTTCCTCATTGTGATCTCCTGTTTGCCTGCTGCTGCTTTGCCAAACTGGGGAGACCATTCTGGGACAATCTGTTCGTGACCTTCGGTTGACGATATCTTTATACTAGCCAATATTTGTAATACACCACAGATATGTGTGCTGTGTACTGTAAGAATCACTAAGGGTCTTACTCATTACGGTTGGTAGATTAATCAAGGCGCTTCTTCTTGATGATACTCAGCTGTTGATGGCACATGTGTATGTGCTGCGCATGCGTAGGTTGTTGTAGATATGAATGGTGATATGCATGTCGTTGAAGGTGTGAAGGTTGCAGTTGTAGGTATGTTGGTTGTAGTACAGGCTGCTGTAGGCCTGCAGGTTGCTGTAGATATGATGGTTGTTGTAGATATTCAAGTTGCTGTAGATATGATGGTTGTTGTAGATACACAGGCTGCTGTAGATATGAATGGTGATATGCATGTCGTTGAAGGTGTGAAGGTTGCAGTTGTAGGTATGTAGGTTGTAGTACAGGCTGCTGTAGGCCTGCAGGTTGCTGTAGATATGATGGTTGCTGTAGATATGATGGTTGCTGTAGATATGATGGTTGTTGTAGATATGCTGGTTGTTGTAGATATGCTGGCTGATGTAGGCCTGCAGGTCGCTGTAAATATGACTGCTGTTGTAGATATGATGGTTGTTGTAGGTTTGAAGGTTGCTGTACAAATTGTAGCAATTGTTGTGATGAAAGTGCGGGAAGGTCCAATATCTGCAATGAATCTGCAACCTTCCCCAACATTCCAAAGTAAGTCACTCTAAGTGTCGCAACATACTGGTGGAGAGGAGATATCCCCAGACATTCCTTGAGACGAGGGTGTAGACCAGAGAATGACTGTAGAACTTCAGTGTCTGGAGCAGTGAATGAGGGAAGAGAGAATAACTTCTTTCCCTCCTCCTTCCTCTTGGAAAATAGTTCTGAAAATCAACAACTGCTGCTTTTGGCATATTATACCTACCAAATATCTGTCCCAAAAGATTTGGGTCTGTGGCTGAGTGGGTCTGAAGATGAGAATGATCTCCTGAGATAGGAGACATGCCACTACGGACAGCCCCCCCATTGACTGTTGAAGAGGTCCAGTCCTGTCCACTGACCATACTCCCACATTTCATACACATGAATATGACTCCTCCTCTTCAAACCAGCAGAGAAAGGGAGAATAATCAGACTGGATGCTCATCTCTTCCAAGTAGTATGTTGTCTTTGAGAAGTCGTTTAGTTCCAGAAGGAAGGCAGTGCAGGTAGTCTTACTAGGCAGAGGAACTCTTTCCATGATGAGAATAAGATATCTCACCGAGTTCCTTGGTGGCAATTAATATCATCATCGCAAGATGTCTTAATGTTGTGTTATTTCTCAGTGCACCACATATGTAGATGATTCCATCATAGCCCAGTCTGGTTCTCTTCAGCTCCAATGTGGTAGACTGGACAGTGTATAGAGCGACGGACACCAGCCATGTCTCCCGAGATATGTGAGGCAAGACCATTTTTAGTTAATTTGAGTGTTTTTTCAAGAGTTATTGCAGTACAGAGTCAACCAGTTCACATCTGCTGGAGCTGTGAAGATCATAATGTATTGGTAGAAGGATGACCATCACGTACACTCTCTCTTAGCTCATTAAATCCCTCTCCACAATAATATCAGGTGGTGGAGGACTGCATTGCCTCCTTATGGTAATTTGCCAAGGTTTTGTTTTACTGAGAGACTGTATTGCAGCAAGCCACTCCCAAGATTATAGCAAAATAAAAAATGCACTTGGACAGATTGTGAGTGTTTGAACTTTTGTGTCGGAAGTGTGTGATCGTAGTGTGTTGATTATCAAAGAGAGCTGTTTACAATGGAGGGTGTAAACGACATTCTCAGTATTCAAAAACAGTGTGGCTTCATTAACCAAAGTACAATCCGTACTGTCTACTAGGAAGATGATGCATCCTTCGATTTGAGAATATAGTTTCACTCTAGGTGTGGGTAGACTTACTGCAGTGGTCATCTAGCGTGACCTTCGCAACGTTTCCACAAGTTAAATATCGCCAGGTGCCAAGCTGCCAGGTATTCCTGTAGGCTGAGGTGGAGAAATGAGAATGTTCGCTCCACTCCTTTGCCAGCATACATTTCAGTGGATCATTCATGAACCCAAAATGAACTAATCCCTCAGGGATATCCTCTTGAAGAACGTACCTGTTCTTGACCCACTTTGTGATAGCTATCAAAAGCAAATTTAGCCAAAACCTTAAACTGGTCCATATCTTCTTTGTTTAAACCTTCAGGAAGCATGGATGTATACTCAATGCTTTCCTTATCTCATGTGTCGAACAGAACAGAATGAGTGAGTGCCTTGTACAGCTGTGTTCTTGTTCTTGGTATAGCGAGGTGGCGGCTACTCTGAGACTCGTAATAGACTTGTGCTATAATGGCACAGTTGAGTGGAATGTACATCATTGACTTTATGTGAGGGACACGAAACATGTACTTCAAGAAATTCACCTGAAGCTCTGGTTCCTTGCTAAAGACCTCAGTGATATACCTCACTCTCTCTTCCTCTGTGAACCCAATAATTCTATGTGTTTATCAACTCGAGGCTGGCAGATACTTTCTAGTGGATTGGCCACTGGTCAGTAGTGAGAATGATGGTACATTCTGGCAAGAGTTGCCTGCATAGAATGCTTTTTATGACAGAGTTCTCACGGAAACTGTGAGAGACTTCGTCAAAACCATCTAAAACAAGTAAAAGGTTACACCCCTGGGAGTGATGCAGTTCTTGAGCAATATTCTCACTGAATTCTTGTTTAAACGGGTATCTAAAGAGATCAGGAAGTGATGCTGCATTTAAGACCCACTTTTCCCTCAACTTGAGCAGCACCACAGTGTGGTAGTCTCTGAGGCTTTCTATCTCATCCCATCTCCTACATGCCTCCCAGGCAAAGGTACTCTTACCAATTCCTGGAGGACCTTCTACCAGAACGAACCTGACTGGCCTACCACTGTGTTCTGGAGTCAGCAGGTCTTCAATGTTGATAGGTGCCTTGCTCTGAAGAATCTGGTCTACTCCTCCATGCAGCGTTCTCCTGGTAAACTCATCTCTTTGCTCAGGATTGTAGCGCCCCCTTCTAATCATGGCAAGATTAATGTAGGGAGAATCTAGGGTGGGAAGGTACTTGTCTGCTGGAGCTAGGGCTCTAGCATTGTAACAAGACTGCAGGTACCGCTTATACTTGTCA